TGGCCAGGGAAAGGTTAGGGGRGCAGCACAACTGTGGGAATTCTGTACCCACATGGAGCAGCACACCGGACGAGTGGGTCCAGTTCTGACCGTAAAAAAAAGTAAAAATTGGAGCAAGGACAAAACTTTCTATCGTGCTTTTAAATTGAAATGCACAGAAATCRCATTGACAAAGTTGTTTTTAGTGAAATGACAGCACTGCTACTCCAGCAGCACAGGGTGGGAAGGACACAAGGCAGAACTGCCTCCTCTGTCTCAGGGTTTTTGACCTGAGATGGTCAAAATGGTTTCTGCCATTTCTTGTTTTTGACACACCTGAACAGGCACTGCCAGCACAGAGTGCTGTCAACTTTCCTCTGGGAACTTTGSTGGGTCCCTCAAATGGGACTTTTTAAAGCCACCTTCAAATTATTTCGAGATCAAGTTGACTTCAGTTTCATTTTAACATCTGAAAAAATTACCTRGAGGCAATTGAAAAATCAGGTAGTCAGTCTTAAAGTTTATCAGAACATGTATTTCAATTATAAAACCAATGATTTTGTACACCCTAACTGCTCCAATTGCCTTTGGTTTATGATTTCTTTAAATGAAATTAAATAAACATCATTTCATCAGATCTGGTGAGCACTTCCTAGAAGTAAACTTTTATCTGTACTCCAAATGAGACATTCAGATCTGATATGGACCATGTTTGGACAATGTTCATCACCTCTTCCATTTCCTTAAATTCAGAGCCCTTTCTTCTTCCAGAACTTATATTCTGGTATCAAATCTATTTTCTTGTATTTTGTGGCACTAAATTATTGCCACTRTTTTGTGTCATTCTCCTCTCTTGTTTCTCTAAAGTTTTCTGTTCATTTTTTAGGTGTGATAAGCCTTATTTTTCTCCRCTCACATTTCTGCTCTTGTAAAACAGACTCTTTGTCCAAGTCAAATGGCCTTCTGCAGCCATTATTTTGATACACTATTTTAAAATACTGTTTAAATAGGTTTGTTTTTATGGTTTTTTTTTCCTTTTCCAGGGCCACTGTGCTAGCTGTTTCAGCAAATCTAAATGCCCTCCAGGGACAAAACCGAAGGTAATACATCTAAATCCCACATGCAAGCAGTCTAACTTGCTCTTCTCTGTACTTCACAGAATGAAACTAGAAAAAAGTTGTTTAGAATTAATAAAAAGAGAACCTTTGATGGTATTATTATTATATTATGAAGGGACAGAGCTGTCCCAGGTGCAGTGGGGAGGGGATGCTGGGTGGTGTCACTGTAAAAGCAATTCAGGTAAGCCCAAAGCAGCCCCTGCTCTCTCATTGATGGTGTTTGGCACTTCAGGAATCAGAGAAGCTCTGGCTCTCCCACCCACACTTCTCTACACATCACACCTTGAGTCAATAGACAGCAGAAATTTAAAGAGGGAAAATAACCAAACATCCACCCAGCACTCAATTGCGTGTGTTTTCCCCGCTCCTGTCTTTGCAYTCCCACCCCAGGAAGGAATCCAGTGGTGCACCTACGAGTCCTACGGGCTGCGGAGGGACGGCTGCCGCAGGAACTGCTCCATGGCCATCCAGGTGGCCAAATGCTGCAGGGGCTACTTCGGGCCAGACTGCCAAGGTAGGGATCAAACCCCTCTGTGCCCCTTCCCCCTCCCCAGCACAGCCAAAACTGCGAGAATTGGGATWATGGGCACCAACATGAGGCAACTCGGCTGCGAGAGCTGAAGAACACAAAGTGTTAGCTGCCTTTTCAATTCAAATTATCTTTTTTCTCACTTTTTTTTTTTTTTTTCACATTTACACTCCATAGCAGCGTGAAGTTTAGTACAGTGTAGTTTGTCATGGCACCAGACTCRGGTTCACTCAGGAATGGCTCAGCACAGACAAGCTCAGAAATTGTAATTCTGTCGCTATTCTCTGACATAAAAGAATAGATACAAAATACACAAAAAGTGGGTGAAAAAACAGAAAGAAAGAAGGATTTTATTGTGGGATAAGCTTTTTTTATTTATTTTAGCAGCTAGTGCATACATTTGTGTYAAACATACATTGGTCAGTGAGACTGTCACTTTCTACTCAACAGCATAGGATTGGTAGGTTTGCAAAAGCTACAGTGTTAGTAATGTTTATAATTGTAAGCTACTTGCATTATTAATTTTACATTCTAATCTTCTTTTTTTTTTAAGACAGCTAAGGATGTGGCGTTTTATTCCCATGCAAGCTGTTAACACTCCCTACATAATTCTGCAGAGATGGAGACAATTTGGGACGCTCCATCCCAACTGTTTGTCAGCAGGCACTGCCCAGATGTGCTCCTTCATCTGGCAGCCCTGCAGGGAAGCAGGATGAGGGTCCCATGGGGTCAGGACACCCTGAGGGGTGTGCAGGGTCACATTTGGGGTCAGGATCTCTGCTGGCACATCGCTCCAGCCCTGCCCGTTTCACACACACACCCTTTGGGCTGTCACTGACAGCATCCAGAGATGCACCAGAAAGGCTGCATTTGGGCAGTGCCGCTCACAGACAGCTCTGAAGGAGCAGCAGCCACATCCAGCACCCAAAAATCACGGCTGGGACGATGCTCAGCCACTTTTTGCCAGGAATGACAGCGTGCCAAGGAATTTGGAGCGCGGCCACTTCCAGAGCCTCAGCAGAGATCAGTGCCTGTTACAGAACGGCAAATCCCCAACAGTGACAACGAATAAAGCTGAGCTGAAGATCCACCTCTCTCTTGCAGCTTGCCCAGGGGGTGCAGAGAGCCCCTGCAATGGGCACGGCTCCTGTGACGATGGCTACTCGGGGACTGGCCAGTGCCACTGCCAGGGTGGCTTCACCGGCAGCGCCTGCGAGCTCTGCCAGCCGGGCAGATACGGCTTCTCCTGCAGGGGTATGTCCTGTTCCCCCTCCCAAACCCATCCCAAAGTGTTCTGTCAGTCTGAGATGCTGATTGACACAAGGAATGCTTCCCTCTCAACAMCAGCCTTTTTGCTGGGAGCTCCTAAAATCCACCTCCCCGCGGTTTTAAATGTAAAACCACCAGCAGGATCAGCATCCCTCCTTAAAATTAAATGTTTTCCTGACATTAAGACTTCAGATAAAAAGTTACAGCTTCCAACTTTACAACATATTAAGGCTTCCATCCTAACCCTGTGTTTCTCCCAAGGCACGCAGGATGGGGGGTACAGGCAAGACAAATATTCAGGATTATGCTCACCTACAGTCCACCCACTTAAAAGCACAAAATGTAAGAGCTGTTAGCCTGAAACCTATTAAATTTAAGAGAAAAAAAAAATTTTATAGCCCCTTCTCTTTGATGTTGGTTTAAATCAGGCAAAAATTAACTCAGCCGATGAAATTTTAAAAAGCCAGCAAGTGAAGCTCCTTTTCAGCAGGACAGGCATGCAAAAAAGTCAATTCCACCAATCCCATATAATTGTCTACTTTAAACAAAAATATTTCAGGGAGAAAGATAAGGCCATAAAGGATTTTACAGCATTATTACACTATAAAACAGAGAGCCATGAATAATACTCTAAGAAGGATTTAGCACATAAACTATTGCAGGGCCCAGAGAGGAGGGCAAAAAACATCCCCTATGGATTAAATCAGACCATCACACCTCAAGCTGCAGGGCAGATGGAGCAGAGCCTTGTCTATAACAGGAACTGAAGGAATCCAAAAGATTTTAGTCATAAAAATATCCAAAACCTAAAAAATAAAAAAAAAATTACAGGTAACTTATCTATGTTTTATTGCAAAGCTCACTAACCTCATCTGTGACTTCTCCCACACAGCAACCAAGCCCTCTCCTTCCTCACAYCTCATTTTACTCTGGTTTCTCCTCAATTAACAGCTACAGCTCCTTAGGACTGRTCTGTGTGGGTCTYCAGCTCTTCCCTGCCACAGTCCTTKGTGGAGTTCACTGTTCTGCTCCAATATGCAGATCAATCCTCCTTTTTAGAGGTGCATTGACCCAATGCCAGTTATAAAAAACATAGGAGCAAAGGATAATTTAGGCTGGAAGGGGTTTTGGAAGGTCTCTACCCCAATCCTCTTCTCAAAACAGGGTTAGTTCKGAGCTCACCCTGTTCAGGATTTATCCYGYCAAGGACTTGCAAACCTCTGATGCTTGATGATTCTTGCCTTTGATTTAATACACCCTTTTTATATATCTTATTTTCCCTTTTAGATTTTTTTCTGCACCCTTTACGTATTCCTTTGTACCCTTTGCCTACATGCCTGTAATTCTTGTAGCCTGATACTCCAGCTTAGTTTTAAGATTCTTCTAGCAGAAGACCAAACATCCTCAGCAAGCTCATGCTATCTCAAAACTCGAGTTGAGGATGTAACCAGGGTTGAAGCCTTTTTTTAGAACACATTCTGTAAACTGGGCTCTGCCTCATCTTGGGGGCTTCTTTAGAACAGAGGGATATTAGTTAATTTGTTAAGTTTCTTATTGGGGGATTCTAGACAGATATGCTAATTTGTGAGGCCTATGAAAATTTTATATACGTTATATGGGGGTGCATCTCAGCGTGTCCCACCTTGAAGAGCTGTGCACCTGGGATTCTATTAAAATATCAAGGTAAAACCCTTTTATCCCCTTAACTGTGTCTACTTCATAATTCTGAGACAGCCAAAAGGCAGCACCTCCAAGGATGAAGGTTCCTCCACTGCTCTGGGCAGTGTGCTCCTCTCCTCACGTGGCCTCATGGTGAAATCCCACAAAATCTGACTCCCTAAATTATTGCTGGGTAACACTGTGCCTAAACCACCCCGRTTTTGTTCCTCTAGAGAAAAATTTTCCCCTTTCCCACTCTGCAAKCTGCCTCTGTGTTTCTGTTGCAGCTTGTGAGTGCCAGAACAAGGGGCAGTGTGACGAAGGAGCCTCGGGGACGGGACGGTGTTTCTGTGCCACGGGATGGACGGGCCGGCGCTGTGAAACCAAGCTGGGTCTGTGCCTCATAGTTGAGAGAGAAAGGGTTMATGATGTGATCAGGCATCTAAGGGCATTTAGGGACTGAGGAGAAATGCCTTCACCCCACTCCTCTTCTGTGATATGGAAAGAGGAGTTCTGACCTCCACTGTGGCGGTCAAAAAAATAAAATTCCTGCAAGTTTTCCAGTTAGCCAGGCCGGTGTGAAGGGTTGTCCCGTGTGAAAYGAGGGCATTGCAGTGCCAAAGCTCTTTATTGCAGCTGTCCTTGCCTTCCCTGCAGCTCTGCCACCCGTGTGCTCCCCGAGCTGCTCGGTCCATGCCGTGTGCACCCAGAACAACACGTGCCAGTGCAAACCGCTCTACGATGGGGACGGTGTCACCTGCACAGGTGAGCTCCCCATGTCACCCCAGCCACAGGGCAGCTCCTTCCCTCTGCTCAACACCTGTCCCCTCGAAATATTGCCCATCCAAACRTCCACGGTGCAGCAAGTGAGGCAAATTCAGGATACGCAGAGATCACGTTTTTCTAAATCAGGAGGGTGACGTCTCCGAGCAGTGCCATGGGCAGAAAGGTTCTCAGTCAGGGGTTTAAGGTGGGTTTTGCTCAGAGGATTCAAGGATATCAAAGGGTTTTTCCAACAGAAATGATTCTATGGTTTTTTTTTTTGGGATGTTCCCTGGCAACATCGCTGCAGAAAGAACAGCTGTGATTTCTCAGCCAGGTGTCTGCACCTTCCAAAGCCAACCTGGCTGCAAGTCTGAGAGATGGAACCACATCTCCTGAACCAAGAGCTTCCTGACAAGGAATATATATCCCCTCAGGGATAGACTTCACAGAAATTCAGTAATTCTGTCAGTGGAATTAGAATTCAAATTTAGAATTAACAATTCAGRAATTCAGGCAATGGAAACAGTGCTTTTTTTCCCCCAAAAAAGTATTCTAGTATTCTTAGTGTGAAATATATTATAGATTTTAAAGCAGGCTTTATTAATACTATATTTATATGAAAGCACTTGAATGAACCCTTTTTGTGAAAAAAAAATAGGGAAAAAGTGGGCTATGAATTTGGACACCCCCTTGCCATGCAATGTCTACATTCAGTTCTTTAGGTCTGAGAGGAATAAAATGTAAAAATACCCCTTCATCTGAATGCAACAATCAATCTATATATCTATATTATATATATAAATATATTTGAGATATAATATTTTTATATATTTTAATATCTTTATTAATATACATAGTAAAGCAGACATACATTCTTAAGAAGACTTTACTAATATTATCTATTTTATTTATATATTTATATATAGATACATATCTCATATGTTTATATATTTCATATGTTTATATATTTCATATAAATATATTATATATAAATATATATTATATATAAATATATATTATATATAAATATATATTTTTTATAAATATGTTATATATAGGAATATATTATATATTATACATATTATATATATTATATATAGATTATACATAGAATAATATATATTGTATATAGAATAATATTGAATATGTGTTATAATATATAATGTAAAATATAATATATATTAAATACTACATAACTTATAAGCTATAGTATATAGTATTACAATGTATACTGTATAATGTATCTTATATATATTTGAATATATAGACTGTGTCGCATATTTTATATATATTACATATTTTTATATATTTACATATAAAATTTTATTAATTTTAAATAATGTTTTATTATATATTTATTAACATTATCTCTACTAAAGCAGACTTATTTTTAAATTTAAAAATGAATGAAGTTTTAAAATTCACATCTTTTCAAAGCAGATTTCACTCCCTTGTCTCCTTCCTGCCCCGCAGCTGCAGACCTGTGCAAACAGAGCAATGGTGGGTGCCACAAGGAGGCCGATTGCAGCCAGGTTGGGGTGAAAATCTTCTGCAGCTGCCACAGGGGCTACAAAGGAGATGGTTTCAGTTGCCTCCCVATCAACCCTTGTGCCGATGGCTTCAACGGGGGCTGCCACGAGCACGCTGTCTGCATTGTCATCGGCCCCGTGAGTGGAATTCTTCCCTTCCCTTCCCTTCCCAGCAGCAAAATCTCTGCTGTTCCTCCCCAGTGCCAGCAGAATCCTCCTCTGGATGGATCCCACTCTGCGCCTCTCAAATCCCTGTTTTCCCAAATAACCTTTGCTGAGCTCCAGGCTGCTTCCCACACCACTTTGGGATGGGAAGCATTCTCCCTTTTCAAAGAGTTTGTCAGCTTTGCTCTGGGGAACGGGGTAACACAGAACACGGGGTATTTTTCATGAGTAGCTTTTCTATCCCACTCTTACCTCTGCCCTAACTAGATACACTTATTTGCAAGAGGAATTTGTTGGATCAAAATYAAATGTTTTGGAGGCTAAAGAAAGGGACAGCTGGGAGGACAATGTCACTTATTGGTTGCTGGGGCTCAACTTAAAAAGCTCTGCAAATTCCCTGTCCCACACAGTCAGAGTGSYTGGGGGAAGATTGTGCAGGTGACTYAGTCCAGCATTTCTCCTGGTGCTTTCAGGATCACTTGTCCATCCCATTTTGGTGCCTGAGCTGTTTTCCAGGGCTGATCCAAAAAAAATCCTGCTGCTAATCCATTCCAGCTGTCAACCACCACGACCCCCAGATGCCACCAATTCCTGCTTGGTTTACAGTTCTCATTAATCATTATCAGTGGGCTCTTCAATTCCTTTCCTTGCTTCCATGCCAAATCATTTAAATATCCTTTTGATACATTTGCCATCCATTTTTGTGAATTAGGTGTCGTACAACCCTCCAATGCATCCTTTTTTAGCTTTGTGGGTGAAATTATGCTTTGGTGTTAATTCAGCAAAGTTTGCACAAAGTGCAAATTTTTGATTGGTTGTTGGTAGCAACTTTCCTGTTTGGTAGCAAACTTTCCTGTTTGGTAGCAACTTTCCTGTTTGGTAGCAACTTTCCTGTTTGGTAGCAACTTTCCTGTTTGCCCTCCTGCAAAAATCAAGTGAAATTTTTCCAGCATTTCAGGCTGTTGCCCAAAAAATCATTTTTATGTCAGCTGAATGCTTCTGTTGGCCTTTTCCCTTCTGCCTCTGTGCAGGACAAACGCAGGTGTGAATGCAAGAACAATTTTATTGGGGATGGGATGAACTGCTCGGCGCTGCAGCTGCCCCTGGACCGCTGCCTGCAGGACAACGGGCAGTGCCACCCCGATGCTGACTGCACTGATCTGCATTTCCAAGGTGAGCCTGGCACACCCTGCACACCCTCAGCCTGGGGAGGGGTYCATCAGCTCCCTCTGACCCCCAGCCATGTCCCCATGAAGCAGTGGGRTCACAGCCAGAATGTGTGCTCACATACCTGGTGATGCCACCAGCCAGGTAGGGATGTTCCCCCGAAAGAATCCATCTGTCGTGGCCACATTTCTCAAAATTCCCGGGTGTTTTCCTGGCACAGCTGGCTCTCCTCCAGCCATGGAGAGCCCTGCAGGGAGAGCTGGTTGTGCCCTGTCCTTGCAGACTCCACGCTGGGGGTGTTCCACCTGCGCTCGCCGCTGGGCCAGTACAGGATGAGCTATGAGAGGGCCAGTGAGGCTTGTGCCAACCAGTCGGCCACCGTGGCCACCTACAGCCAGCTCCTCTACGCACAGAAGGTGAGCAGCCCTCTCTGAGGGAGGACATCCCCAAAATGGCTGAGCCACAGTGTAAATGGAGAGAGAGGAGCAAAGGTTTAAGCYGCTCTGTGACAATAATCTCCATTTTCCCCCCTTTCCTTCACCCTGGGGTGTTTTACTGAGAGCAGCTTTCGGGTGCTTTTTTTTTTTTTTCCCTGGGGTGTTTTACTGAGAGCAGCTTTC